CCTCAAAAAGAGAAATGAAACTGAATGGAATCGGAATGGTTTGCTCTAACAAAGTTCGCAGGCCTAGATAATTTAAGTATGTACTAAAATTTCTCAATCATAAATCTAACCTTAACTACAGTTATTTCTCCAACAATTCTATTTCTAATTCTTTTCTATAATTATCACATCATTTTAATTATTTTACAATATAGAAAACTAACATTAGTTTCCCATTCTCTTTGTTTGACTCGCTCAAGTCAGCATTTATTGAACATCTTCCATATCCCCTATCAAAAGACTTGAATTAAGGACTGGGGAGAATGAACCAAAGACCTCCTCCTGGAGAAGTATACACTCAAAAGGAAGACAAATAAATGTTAATAATATCAAAACACAATTAAATACATGACATGAACAGTGCTGTAACCCAAACTTACGGGAGTAAAAGAGAAGGGGATAGGTTCATTTTAACTCTGTTGGCAAGAAGCGAATCCATGAGAGTTTATGGGAAGGATGGGCATTTAAATAAGATCTTAAAGTAGGTTTTCAAAATGAAAATTGACAGGATCTCAAAGTTTATTTTGGTTTAGGATCCAAGTCTCATTCTAAACACTCTTTAATACAGTTTATCATCTCAATGCAGAGTAACAGAAGGTTCTATCTGAAAACAATTTTACATAGGAGCTTTTCATTCTCTGCTTTCAAATACTTCTAAAGCATGCCTCTCTATCAGCATCTATGCTGGTTACCTATGCAGGGAACTATTTTCAGGTGAAAATATCCAATGAAAAGGGAAATCACTCTTTGCCTCTAGTCCGAACTTCAATTGTCAGACTTTGAAATTGTGACAGGTCCCTACCCTGATCTTGATAAATTCATGGGAGCCAAACTGAGTGGGATGCAATCTCAGCTCCACTACTTACAACCTCCATGATCAGGCTACCTAACCTGTCCATACCTCAGTTCGTAACAGGAAGATAACAGTGCCCACCTCATGTGGTTCTCTCATAAGAATGAACTGAATTATCACCTGTAAAATGCATAAAACATCTAGCATACAATAAATCAACACTATAAATGTTTTGACCAAGAAATCTTTTCTAAGAGTTTATTTCTAATTTGTTACACCATTCCCCATCCTATTTCACTTTTATAAAGTAGACTTTGAAACTGTATTTACTTTCAGAGACAAATATCTTGAAAAAAAGGCTAAATCTGGTTCTTAGACAGTAATAGTAGTAACAGAGAAATAGCTTAT